ATTTAATAAAAAAATAATATTATTAAATCATAAAAAATTGTAAACTAAACATATATTCTTTCCTATTAAACATATATCTTTGCAAGATTTTAGGGAGTCTAAAAAAAAATGCTTTTTCAAATGATTTTGTTTCAATTGACTTAGGTTACCAACCAAAACATGCATGACTCTTTCTTAATTTTATATTGCTATTTTTCAAAGGAACTTCATGATTCTATTTACAATTAATTTTTTTGGTGTCAATTCAGTAGATTAAATGTCAGGTTGTGAAAAAAAATTTGTCCAAATAAAAGAACATAGGACAAGAATCCCCCCGCTCATGCTTTGTAATTTTTCAAGTTAAAAAGTGGCATAACTCTATAACAATAAATGACTCACTGCCCAAATTCGAACTCTGTCTGCGTGTTGTGGTTCTTTGCATTGTGTATGAGTTTCAAAAAAATTTTGATGAGAAAAACTTAGATTAGAGTAGGTAACTAAAAAAAATTTTGTAATTTTGTAATTTTTCCAACTTATTAAGGCCTAAAAGGGGCATACTCTAGAACCAATTATATATGACAGACTACCAATATTTATACTCTGTCTGCGTGTTGTGGTTCTTAGCATTGTGTATGAGTTTTATAAAATTTGAATGAGGCAAACTTCAGCTAAAGTGCTGAAACGAAAAAAATTTGGAATTTTCCCAGTTATAAAGGGGCATAACTCTAGAATGGTAAGTGACTCACTGCCCACATTCCAAATCTTTCTGCAGGTTTTGGTTCTTAGTATTGTGTATGAGTTTCATAACATTTGGATGAAGAAAACTTTAGTTAGAGTGCTGAAACAAAAATGAGAAGGACGACCGGAAGGACATCAGGGGCATAAAAATGTGAAAAATTGATGTATGGAAAACTATAAAATGTAACTCTATTCATCTTGAAAAAATGCAAAATTTAAAGACAATCTCTAAAAACGAATTTTATTATAACATTTCAATACATTTGGTGACTTACCCTGTCAGGTTTAGCACCCTGTATCAATTTAGTACAGCTTTCTTCATGTAAACAATAACCTATTTTAATCATGCTGTGTAGCATTTGGCTATACACTATACACACATGGTATGGTTCTGTGTATATACACAGTCTTAAAATTTATCATATCTATATTCTTTCTAAAAATAAAATTACATGTCCAACATATTTAAAGTGAAATCGAAATTGCTACTTGTAAATATATTTTTTTATTAAATTTTACTAAACTCCAGGTACATTCATGTCACAAATATTGATAATATAAGCACTTATTGGCCAAGTTGTTATGACTAATTTGACGCCCCCCCTCTCCTCTTTAAATATCAAGCATGCAGACTGATATGGGTTTCCAATATAAATTCATATCCACCCCTTTTAAGATTCCATATATGACTATATTCCAGTCAGGTCAAAGCATTTCACTACCATTTGGTATTCCATTGTTTATTTAAAATAATCACTCTATCGATAAAAGGTGAAGGTACAATTTTCTTATAACAATTCCTACAGTGTACAATTTACACAATTAAACATTTTAATGTTTCAAATTCTTTCATGCTATAAATAGTTTCCTGACACCTGTTGCATGGTGACCTTTCCTGCAATTAAAACTATACATCAACATAACAATAATTTAGTACAAAAACAAAAAGATTTCATTTGACATAGACACTGCTACTGAAAAAAAAAATACTTGACCAATCAGCTTTATTACTAGACATTTACATAATGGTCAAGAACAATATTATAAAATACTTGACCAATCAGCTTGATTACTAAACATTTACATAATGGTCAAGAACAATATTATAAAATACTTGACCAATCAGCTTGATTACTAAACATTTACATAATGGTCAAGAACAAAGTTATAAAATACTTGACCAATCAGCTTGATTACTAAACATTTACATAATGGTCAAGAACAACATTATAAAATAAATACTGGTTATACTGGTGTTTAAGCATCATGATTCATTGCAAATAATTGTAGCTGCAGTTACATAATGATCAACAGGTTATAAGGAAATACAAAAACAGTCAAAAAACTAAGTTAATTCAACACAGAGGAGGTTTGACAAGAGCCAAAATTTGGCCTCTAACATTGCACCAACAACATTTCTTTAATCTTTAGAGTTCTATTTTAATCTAATTATGATACTATAAAATGGCCATTCCAGTTCAAAAATGTAAACTATGATGACATAATAATGTCATGAACATATCATAATTGGCATACTTGTCAAAATATGAGCAACAGTCGTACCCCAAAAAGATATTTGAGGCATTGCATTATCTTTGGAAAGACATCACATTTGGTGATATTAGAATGAGAGGATCCAAAGAGTTGGTCAAATGATATACCTTTATCCTTCATTAGATAATTTGGCTCAAAGTTTCAGTATAAAAATAAAATATCCAGGCAACCAAACAAATTCGGCTACAAAATTCAATAAATAAAGTATAATTTTGAGTTATGTGTATCATGACTGTATGTCAGTGCTTATTTCTGTTATTTACAACTACCAATATATTAGTTATTCTAGAATAAACTGTTATCACAGAGATATGTCTCGCCTTTTTGTAATTTTGATAATGCAAATGTTGAAATTCAAATAGCAATACTTTAACATGTAAGTTATGCAAATATTAATAGTTGATGAATCATGACTGAAGGTACATGGCTAAACAATCTCCATGGAAATGAGATGTGCCAATTCTTATACAACTGCATACCAAATACCATTGACTTATTATAAGTCGTTCCCTTTAAACTAATCTAAACAAACATTAACTTGTAAACTATGTAAAAGTTTCAAAGTCAATGAACCACGATGAGGGGGTGAAGCTATATAATCTCCATGGAAACGATACTTGCAAATGCCAATAAATTTGTATACCAAATATCATTGACTTAACATTAGCAGTTCATCTTAAACTGATCTAATCACAAACTAATACATGTAAACTAAGCAAAAGTTTCAAAGTCAATAGACCATGACAGAGGGGGCACGGCCAAATATTCTCCATGGAAATGAGATGTGCTAATGCTTATACAACTGAATACCAATTAACATAGGCCTTCCACTAATGGTTCCCCTTGAACTGATCTAATCACAAACTAATACATGTAAACTAAGCAAAATTTTCAAAGTCAATAGACCATGACTAAGGGGGCGGAGCCAAATAATCTCCATGGAAATGGGATATGCCAATGCTTATACAACTGCATACCAAATATCATTGACCTACCACTAGTGGTTCCCCATAAACTGACCTAATCACAAACTAATACATGTAAACTAAGCAAAAGTTTCAAAGTCAATAGACCATGACTGAGGGGGCAGGGCCGAATAATCTCCATGGAAATGAAATGTGCCAATGCTAATACAACTGCATACCAAATATCATTGACCTACCACTTGTGGTTCACCATAAACTAGACCTAATCACAAACTAATACATTGTTGATGCCGTCAACGCTGGAAACAGCATACCTATGTCTCGCTTTTTTCCGTCAATGCGAGACAAAAATGAACATATTGCAATTTGGTGATGTATGAATTAAAGAAACACACTATAACAGATAAATGTGCTTATAAAAAAGTTCTGAATGAAAGAATTGAACAGTTCATTTTGATTTATTCCTGTATAATTAATAGTTTTTTAATGCTGATGGTGAAAATATCAGTCTTGTGAAAGTTAATGATTATAGCTGTATTAAAGCTTTAAGTCTGCTTGTCCTGAGTCACACTATATATATCCATGTACATATATTTTTTAATCAACAATTAAAATCCTGATAAAATGATATGGACTAGATGACAAAAATGTTATGACTAATTATCGCACCTTGGGTAAATTAGTGACATTATGATTGGTTTAAAATCATCACATGGTTACCCCCTATGGATCTGTATGTGGTCAGTAGATTTCATATGGGGTTCATGATGTCACATCTACTATTCATGGTGACGTCATATACTAATGTTATTGTCTTTCATTGTTTATTTTTATACAATATATTTTATACTGTGTGCGATAAATTCGTTATACGGTTCACTATGACCCCCTACTGATCGATGGAGGGTTAGTAGCAAACCATATAACTTATAATATTTAATTCTTTCTAGTATTTTGTGTCCAGATTTATTTTCTGTGTAAGGTTATGCTTAGAATGATTTCTGCAAATTTGTATACAATTAGCAACAAATTTTTGGTGTGTTTTCAGTAAAATTTTGAATGTTTCATTAATCATATAAATCTACTGATTACCAATATTTATTGTGCAAGCAATACTGGCTGCAAAATATTCACTTTTTGTGAACTAAAATAATAAAACTTAATACTCCCTCTGAGCATATATTTTAAAATTTTTGTTTGATGTGTTTTTGAATATCAGTATATACAAAGCGTTCTCATTTTCAAATCTAATTACCATTATATTTTAGTTAACATTTAAAATGGTGAAGAAAGAGGTGCCATCTGAATACAATAATTATGCCCCACCTAGGATAGTAGAGGGGCATTATGTTTTTCAGTCTAAGCGTCCGTTCGTCCGTCTGACCACAATTTCACTGTCCATGGAAACATAGAAAATGATAGTGCTAGTGGGGCATCCGCGTACTATGGACACATTCTTGTTTTTCATATATCAGTTTTCCCTTGGCAACCTAAACTTTAAATTTTTTTTCTTAAATACAAAACAGTGATCTACAAATAATGCCCCCTCTTAAATGTTTACACTAATACACAAAAATCTAACTGAGTCAAACATTTCTATGATGTCCTGAATGGCAGTATATTTAGAACTATAAGAAATGATTTAATAACTTCTCTAGGTCTAAACTAAGGAGATTTTGTACAATAATCTTATATTATAGTATAGAGATTATAACATGAATTAACTTTTTCACAAACAAGATCTACATACTACAAAATAACACAATACTATGTACTTAATATATAAACACATTTGAGAAGATTTCATAATATCAGTGCAAAAATCTTGAAAAAAATTACAATATTTTCATACAACAAAATTTTAATTTCTTATGTTTAAAAATTAAAAAAAAAAGTATTACTACTGGAAAGGTTCATTATTATCACAGCTGCTAATGATTACATTTACAAAATTTCAAATTAACAAATAAATTCAAAGATCTTGGTTGTAAATCAATAAATTAAAAGGTTTTTTCTATTGTTCATTATCTAAAAGGCAACTGTTTTTTCTTACTTAAGCTTGTTTCTTTATATCAAGTTTTAATCAACAAAATTTTTAAATTATATTTCTATAGAATAAAATGAAAAGATGAATTTTCTTAATTAAAATAAAGGCTACTGGCTACTCTTTAAGGCTTTATTGCAATGAGGTAAAATAATAATTGTTTTGTATAACAAAGAAATATAAAAAAGATAAATAAAAAAAAAGAATAAGAAAACCAGTCAAACTGACTTGGTATATCACTTTCAAAGCTAGTTTTAAGAAAATAAAAATATCACAACTGAATGAAAAAAAAAAGAAATATAATGGGAATAAAAATGGCCAGACATCTCATTACATATGTACACGTCACAATTCAGCATACTAGATATGATAAATGTATAAGTCATGTAAATATAATGTAAGGTCAGTCAGTTTTGGCTGAGATAATAATAATAATACTTATAAGGTATAATACTCAATTATACTAACAAATAGCGTCAACAAAATAAATACAAATACATGTTTATAACATTCCATTGATCAGTAACTTTATACCATCCCATTTTGATAAATTTATTTTATGGTGCTGTTTCTATTCTACTATTCATTATTAGAATTTATAATGCGATAATTCTAATTGAAAAAAATTCGTAAGGGTTCCGCGGAACCCAGTGTCTCGCCTACTTTTGCTGTTAATCCCAGGCTCAACAAAAATGAGGAAAAAAATTAATAAAAATATTCCTCTCTATACTATCTTTTGATTGTAAGTAGCTTCTGTCCAAGTTTGGTAAAAATCCAGGATAGTTTATGAATCTAATAAATGTTTTAAAAACTTAAACTGCAGACTGTATGTAATGTTAACTTGAAGAAAAACTAAGTCCATTTATAAGTAAAATACGGAAAAAATGGAACAAAATTTTAACAAAATTTCCTTCTAGATACTAGCTTTTAATCATAAACAAGCTTCTGTCCAAGTTTGGTACAAATCCAAGATAGTTTAAGAAAGTTGTTAAAATTTTAAAAACTTTAACCATAGAGTGAATGTAATGTTAACTGGCAGAAAAACTAAGTCCATTTATAAGTAAAATACTGAAAAAAATGATTTTTTTTTTTTAAATTTACTTCTGGATTCTATCTTATGATCATAAACAAGCTTCTTTCCAAGTTTGGTAGAAATCCAGGATAGTTTAAGAAAGTTATTAAAATTTCAAAAACTTTAACCACAGAGTGAATGTAATGTTAACTGGCAGAAAAACTAAGTCCATTTATTAGTAAAATACGGAAAAAATGGATTTTTTTTTTTTACAAAATTTACTTTTGGATATTATCTTATGATCATAAACAAGCTTCTGTCCAAGTTTGGTGGAAATCCAGGATAGCTTATAAGAAAGTTATTAAAAGTTCAAAAACTTTAACCACAGAGTGAATGTAATGTTAACTGGCAGAAAAACTAAGTCCATTTATAAGTAAAATACGGAAAAAATGGAATTTTTTTTTTACAAAATTTACTTTTGGATATTTATCTTATGATCATTAACAAGCTTCTGTCCAAGTTTGGTAGAAATCCAGGATAGTTTAAGAAAGTTATTAAAATTTCAAAAACTTTAACCACAGAGTGAATATTTGTGGACGCCGCCGACAACGACGACGCCGACGGAATGTAGGATCGCTATGTCTCGCTTTTTCGACAAAAGTCGAAGGCTTGACAAAAATGATATGTTTACTATAATCAAAGCTATAATTCCCCAACAAGTAGTAACTCCCAAACAAATATTTATTTAAATATTGAAGTAATTCCAATATGTTTAATTAGGAAAAGAGTTTATACAAATATATGAAATACAGCAAGTTACGTCCTTTTGTAAATTGTGGACTAAAAAATGCAGTATATCTTTTGAAAATGAAATAATAGATCCTACATATATGACAGAGGTACATTAAAACTATCTAGTTTAATTAGAATCCAACACTTTGTATAAACTGTTCAAGGGAAAAAACTCTATGTACTACAACTATGACTGGTCGTCAGCATAGTTTTCTTCATCATCATCTCCATACATTTCCTCTTCAGATGATTCCTCATTCATATCATCGATATCCTCTCCACCACTGTACAGATTCTCATCTTCCTCCCTCCTGTGTAATGTCTGTCGTCTATGTATTGTTTCATCCAAATCATCATCGTCACCACTATAATAAAAGTACTTAATTTTACTAAGGTTCAGGTATGCAGATAAGTACATGTATTACAAACTTCTATACCATCAGTGTAATTCAATTTGTATATTTGTATTCTAATACTTACTTTTAAAGTTTTCTTATACATTTCTACTGAAATGAAGGATTTTCTTTGGCTACAGGAGTAAGCCACTTAAAAGTTTACAAAAATATCAGGTGAAAACCCTAATTTGGCATATCTTTTTAAAAGTTCATATTATAATAAAGATGTGTACTATGTTTCAAGCTGATGTTGCCATGATTTCATGGTAAACTACCTAAAACAAAAATGTTATCCTGATAAATAAACTGAAGAAAGGACGCCATACAGAGGAAGAAAGGCACACTCCAAAAAACATAATGCCACCGTGCTATTGTAGGCAGGGCATAAAAAACACATTGATCAACTCAATCACAATTAGTTTGATTCAAATCTAAGTTTCAAGTGAAAAGAGCATCTAACATACTTTTCATGTCAGTTATTTTATCAGTTTATGAAGGACTAAAGTTTTCAGTGATAATAAACATTTACACAAATTTGCATTCATCAAATTTTGCCTCACAAGATTTGTTGCAAGTGTTCTTCAAGTGTAAAGAGCAAGACACTCTGTAAACGAGGCATCATATTAAAAGTCCCCATTCCCACTGGTTGTGACTGCGTATCTATACATCCCATCCAGCCAAACAAATGCCCCATTTAAGCAAGGGTTTACTGGTGGATACGAGATGTCTTAAGGATGACAATATTCTATACTTTAGTAAACCCTGGAGTCTTATTTCAATATTCATGATAATGAACAAAAGTGATCTTTTCAAATCGTCAATTACAAAATACCCATCCATCTTTAAAACAACACCTTCAACTCTAAATGGTGATCTTTCAAAAATCAAATTTTGTAATATTAGTAAATATTATGGAATACTTAGATGAACTCGTATAATTTTCTGGCCCAAAGACTATAATTACTGGGTAGATTTATTTCATCCTAAACACTTCAACAGTAACATAACATCTAATAACACAACCTATAATAATGTGGCATTAAAATAAAAACTGACTCATTTATAGCAACATTTTCTGGAGTTATATTTACAATAGATGTGTTATAATTTGACCAATTTAATAGAATACCTTGTTTCTTTTATACTTCAGAACCATAAATAAAACAAGTAAAGCTGTGAGCTACTGCTCACTGATGATACCCCCGCCGAAATATTTCAGTAAACAGGAAGTTGTTGAGTGATGAATCTGAAAACGCATCACACGGTATAGCTGACTTATATAAACCCTGAAACCAAATTTCAGAAATCCTTGTCAAGTAGTTCCTGAGAAAAATGCGATGAAAATTTTCAACTTGGCTATCATGTGTAAAATAATACAAGTGTTCAGAAAACAGGAAGTTGTTGAGTGATGAATCTGAAAACGCATCACATGGTGTAACTTACTTATATAAACCCTGAAACAAAATTTCAGAAATCCTTGTCAAGTAGTTCCTGAGAAAAATGTGACGAAAATATTCATGGGACAGACGGACTGACGGATGGACTGACGGAAGGACAGACAGAGGTAAAACAGTATACCCCCCCTTTTTTAAAGCGGGGGTATAATTATCTTGTCAAAATATTTTTTACGCAAAGCTTCAACAAAATCTAATCATATATAAAGAAGCCATCAAACATAGAGAAATCTCTGTAAGACTGAACACATAAATAATAAAGATATAAGTAAATAAGACTAGAAAACACAACATTTAATTTTGTGAAGTTTATATATTTAAAATAAGCTACTAAACTTACTACAGACTTAAAATCAGTTTGTTAATAAATCCTATACATTTTTCTATGTTAAAATAAATATTGTGTGCACAATTAGAGAAACTGATACTTAGTTAAGATAGTCTAGGAAATAAGATATCTGATATTGTGGGTTCATTATTATTCTTACGATAGTAATTTTCAAGGATTACGTGGGTATATGTATACCATGAATTCAAATCTTCATCAAAATACAAATTTCCTATAGGCTTGTATGCTGAAATTTTGAAACCACAAATTCATGTATCCTTTAAAAAAAAAAAACATTTTTCCGGAATCCATGAAAATTTTTACCCACAAAAATAAATGAATCCACAATAGATATAAAGCAGAATTTGTCATCTCTCTTTCTTGTAATACATTAGCATTGTATCCTCACACTGACATTTTGTAATTCACTTATTTTGAAGGAATCTTGTGGTTTTTAATTTATTATTCAAATTTTAAAAGTTTGTTGTGCAAACTTTTTAGGTATTAAAAAGTATTTTAAGATTATTCAAGTCGTGAAATATAATTAAGACAGCATAAGAATAAGAAGTTTACCATCTTTTTCAACAAAAATAGAAATGTTTTCTTCTTTTTAAGCCTTAAGCTTAAGAGCACTGCAGTAAATGATAAATCAGGCAAAATATTTTTTTTCTTATGTTAAATATTTAGCCTTTATCTATGGATGGGGATATATAAAAAAAACTTTGTTTCTAAATAACAAATGACAGACGCCAAGTGATGACATAATAAAGCAGAAACACACCCATATTACCTTTTCTTACTGCTGGTTTTCTTCCTGTAATCAATTGTGTGTGTTATTTGTAAATTTAAATTAGTTCACTGAAATACAGTAAAATCTTGTTATACTCTCCCCTTTTTGTATATTCAAAAGTAAAGTAATTTCCTTTTGATGATGATACTTTGCTAAGGCACTAATACATATCTCATTGTATTCATTAGACAGTTCAAATGGTACATAGCAACTTAGCTTCTTTATGTGTTTCCAGATTTTGAAAATACCTATTTACATCTAATACATGTATACAAGATTTTACTGTCAGATTAAAATCAAAATGTATGTACCAACCATAATTTCCTGAATTTTTCCCAGATAAAATTATGCAAATATTTAGGTCAACTAAAACCAATGTTAGATCACATAACCAACACATTATTGTAAATCAAGTATACAGTGAATCAAAATGGATAAATTGTAAAGGATATAAGAACTATACATACAGTAGATCTGGATCCTGAGCAGTGGCTCCTAGGTTCTGTTGAGAGTCAGACAATGGAGGAAAAGATACCATATTCTCAGTTGTGTATTTGGTACGAGTTCTGATCAAGGCCTCACTGAATTTTTGTCCCATGTCTTCCATCATTGAGGTTGTAATATGTTGATCCTACAAAAAGAACAAATGTCTTAATAAAACTTTTCTTTGTGAAAATCAATAACCCATTAAGCTTCAAAAACATGTTGATGAGACCCAACCCAACAGCATAAATTAACCAATAAAGACATCTTTAACTGGCAAACTTCATATTTTTATTATAAATTTTAAGAGGGTATTTGTCAGTATCCTAATCTGCCTCCATAACAACTTACCTTAAACTTGCCATCATGATCAATACCACAGTATGTACTCTCCATTGTGTAACTCCTAAGTACCCCAATCTGCCTCCATACAAACTTACCTTAAACTTGCCATCACGATCGATACCACAGTATGTACTCTCCATTGTGTAACTCCTCAGTACCCCAATCTGCCTCCATACTACAACCCTGGCTGTTGTCTCCTTAGCCTTCTCCACAAGAAAACTACAGTTCGGCCAGGAAAACACCGGAGATGTTAAGTGCAAAATCCTTGGCAGTGTCTGAAAGTTAAACAATGTTTTTATATATAAACACTATTCAGTCCAAAAGCACACACAGTCCCTATGGAAGACAAAAGTATTTTGATTATTATCAATGTAAATTCCCTTTTACAAATGTAATTACAGTAAATTCAGAAATTATTGTGTGCATTTATTATTGCGATTTCTTAAGAATGGACACCAATTCGAGATTAATTATTGCGATTTCAGAAATATCTGCATACATATATATACATCAGACATCATGATTTGAGTTCTTATTATTGCGATAGTCGCCCAGTCACATTATTCGCATTAATAAAAACCTCGCAATAATTTCTGAATTTACAGTATCTTTTTTTTTTTCAAATAACCAATTTTGTATTCAAATTCTTTATATATGCACAAAGAATGATATGAAAAATCAAATTCTTACACATTGTAATCAATATCTCTTAAATAGATTCTTAAGATCTATAATTTTGAGAGAACTAGTCTATGTTTCCAATTGTATGGAATTAAAGATCCTGTCTTTCTATTGCAAAGATTTACAGTGAAAATTTTCACAAAAGTGACAGTTAATTTGTTATTTTGGTTTGAGGAAAAGAAAATCTTAAGATTTTAAAGCAAAAAAGTAAGTAATACTTCTATGACATGCTGTATCTTCTTGCAAAAGATTCTCATTCACCACATTAGAAAACCCCTGTTAAAATGGTAAACTATATAAATCTTAGTTAACCAATTTCAAATTTAGACAGCAAGAGTACACACGCTGAAATGTCTCGCCTTCTTTACTGACCATTGATTTTATGTTGATAGTCTTTAATATAAAGCTTTACTATAACTATCACACAAAACTTAACATGATCCAAGAAAATGAGGTCAAGGTCAGATAAACCAAACTGGAAATACATGTACACCTTACAATCATTCCATACACCAAATATGCTTTAAATATAGTTGACCTAAAGCACATATTATCTAAGAAACAAACTTAACCAGGAAAACTTAACATTGATCAAAGAACCATGAAAATGAGGTCAAGGTCAGATGAACCCTGCCAGACAGACATATACACCTTACAATCATTACATGCTTTAAATATAGTTGACCTATTGCATATAGTATCTAAGAAACAAACTTAACGAGGAAAACTTAAGATTGACCAATGAACTATGAAAATGAGGTCATGGTCAGATGATAATTTCCAGACAGACATACACCTTACAATCATTCCATACACCAAATATAGTTGACCTATTGCTTATAGTATTAGAAAAATAGACCAAAACACAAAAACTTAACACTGAGCAATGAACCATAAAAATGAGGTCAAGGTCAAATAAAACATGCCAGACTGACATGTACATCGTAAAATATTATCATACACCAAATATAGTTGACCTATTGCATACAGTGTTAGAAAAACAGACCAAAACACAAAAACTTAACTTTAACCACTGAACCATGAAAATGAGGTAAAGGTCAGATGACACCTGCCAGTTGGACATGTACACCTTAAAATCATTCCATACACCACATATAGTAGACCTATCGCTTATAGTATCTGAGATATGGACTTGACCATGAATACTTCAGTAGTTGTCGTTTGTTGATGTGGTTCATAAGTGTTTCTGGTTTCTTGTTTTTTATATAGATTAGACCGTTGGTTTTCCTGTTTGAATGGTTTTACACTATTAATTTTTGGGGCCCTTTATAGCTTGCTGTTCGGTGTGAGCCAAGGCTCAGTGTTGAAGACCGTACTTTGACCTATAATGGTTTACTTTTATAAATTTTGACACGGATGGAGAGTTGTCTCATTGGCACTCATACCACATCTTCTTATATCTATTAACCTTGTTCACTGATCCATGAAATGAGGTTGAGGTCAAGTAAAAACTGTCTGACGGTCATGAGGACCTTGCAAGATATGCACATACCAACTATTATTATCCTATTAGTCATAATTAGAGAGAAATTAAGAATACTAAAAATCCAAACTTTTTTTTCAAGTAGTCACTGAACCATCAAAATGAGGTCAAGGACAATGGACATATGACAGACAAAAACTTTGTAACATAAGGCATCTATATACAATGTATGAAGGACCTTCTGAAATATTAAACTTTAAAGAAGGTTGTTTACGCCGCCTCTGCCGGATCATTATCCCTATGTCGAGCATTCTGCGGCAGAAGTTGCAAGCTCGACAAAAATCATGATAAAATCTCAAAAACTCTTTGACAAGGATAGAAACTCTATGAAAGAAACTATAAGAAAATAAGTCAAATTAACTCTCATAAAACAAACTTCATCAAACCTGGCTTTTCAATGTGAAAGTAAAGAAATTAAGTATATACATATATCATGGCAGTTCTTTAACTCACTTTCACACAACTCTACTATTATTGTTGTTACATAATTACATGTATATTGTAGAGCTATTCAATACTAGTTCATGACATAACACTTGAAAATTCCAAACAATTGTAGATTTAGTACAAAGAATACTACCTTATAAGCATTATCTTCCAGTCACAATACTACCTTATAAGCATTATCTTCCAGTCACAATACTACCTTATAAGCATTATCTTCCAGTCACAATACTACCTTATAAGCATTATCTTCCAGTCACAATACTACCTTATAGGCATTCTCTTCCAGTCACAATACTATCTTATAAGCATTCTCTTCCAGTCACAATACTACCTTATAAGCATTACCTTCCAGTCACAATACTACCTTATAAGCATTACCTTCCAGTCACAGTACTACCTTATACGCATTACCTTCCAGTCACAATACTATCTTATAAGCATTATCTTCCAGTCACAATACTACCTTATAAGCATTATCTTCCAGTCACAATACTACCTTATACGCATTATCTTCCATTCACACTACTACCTTATAAGCATTATCTTCCAGTCACACTACTACCTTATAAGCATTATCTTCCAGTCACACTACTACCTTATAAGCATTATCTTCCAGTCACAATACTACCTTATAAGCATTATCTTCCAGTCACAATACTACCTTATACACATTATCTTCCAGTCACAATACTACCTTATACGCATTCTCTTCCAGTCACAATACTACCTTATACGCATTCTCTTCCAGTCACAATACTACCTTATAAGCATGATCCCTCCAGTCACAGTACTACCTTATACGCATTACCTTCCAGTCACAATACTACCTTATAAGCATTATCTTCCAGTCACAATACTACCTTATACGCATTATCTTCCAGTCACAATACTACCTTATAAGCATTATCTTCCAGTCACACTACTACCTTATAAGCATTATCTTCCATTCACACTACTACCTTATAAGCATTATCTTCCAGTCACAATACTACCTTATAAGCATTATCTTCCAGTCACACTACTACCTTATAAGCATTACCTTCCAGTCACAGTACTACCTTATAAGCATTACCTTCCAGTCACACTACTACCTTATACGCATTATCTTCCAGTCACAATACTACCTTATAAGCATTATCTTCCAGTCACACTACTACCTTATAAGCATTACCTTCCAGTCACAATACTACCTTATAAGCATTATCTTCCAGTCACAATACTACCTTATACGCATTATCTTCCAGTCACAATACTACCTTATAAGCATTATCTTCCAGTCACAATACTACCTTATAAGCATTACCTTCCAGTCACACTACTACCTTATAAGCATTCTCTTCCAGTCACAATACTACCTTATAAGCATTATCTTCCAGTCACACTACTACCTTATAAGCATTATCTTCCAGTCACAATACTACCTTATAAGCATTATCTTCCAGTCACACTACTACCTTATAAGCATTACCTTCCAGTCACAATACTACCTTATAAGCATTATCTTCCAGTCACAATACTACCTTATAAGCATTATCTTCCAGTCACAATACTACCTTATAAGCATTATCGTCCAGTCACAATACTACCTTATAAGCATGATCTTCCAGTCACAATACTACCTTATACGCATTACCTTCCAGTCACAATACTACCTTATAAGCATTACCTTCCAGTCACAATACTACCTTATAAGCATTACCTTCCAGTCACAATACTACCTTATAAGCATTACCTTCCAGTCACAATACTACCTTATAAGCATTCTCTTCCAGTCACAATACTACCTTATAAGCATTATCTTCCAGTCACACTACTACCTTATAAGCATTATCTTCCATTCACACTACTACCTTATAAGCATTATCTTCCAGTCACACTACTACCTTATAAGCATTATCTTCCAGTCACACTACTACCTTATAAGCATTATCTTCCAGTCACAATACTACCTTATAAGCACTACCTTATAAGCATTACCTTCCAGTCACAATACTACCTTATAAGCATTATCTTCCAGTCACACTACTACCTTATAAGCATTATCTTCCAGTCACACTACTACCTTATAAGCATTATCTTCCAGTCACAATACTACCTTATAAGCACTACCTTATAAGCATTACCTTCCAGTCACAATACTACCTTATAAGCATTATCTTCCAGTCACACTACTACCTTATAAGCATTATCTTCCAGTCACACTACTACCTTATAAGCATTATCTTCCAGTCACACTACTACCTTATAAGCATTATCTTCCAGTCACAATACTACCTTATAAGCACTACCTTATAAGCATTACCTTCCAGTCACAATACTACCTTATAAGCATTATCTTCCAGTCACACTACTACCTTATAAGCATTATCTTCCAGTCACACTACTACCTTATAAGCATTATCTTCCAGTCACAATACTACCTTATAAGCATTCTCTTCCAGTCACAATACTACCTTATAAGCATTCTCTTCCAGTCACAATACTACCTTATAAGCATTATCTTCCAGTCACAATACTACCTTATACGCATTATCTTCCAGTCACAATACTACCTTATACGCATTATCTTCCAGTCACAATACTACCTTATACGCATTACCTTCCAGTCACACTACTACCTTATACGCATTACCTTCCAGTCACACTACTACCTTATAAGCATTACCTTCCAGTCACACTACTACCTTATAAGCATTACCTTCCAGTCACAATACTACCTTATACGCATTACCTTCCAGTCACAATACTACCTTATACGCATTACCTTCCAGTCACAATACTATCTTATAAGCATTACCTTCCAGTCACAATACTACCTTATAAGCATTCTCTTCCAGTCACACTACTACCTTATAAGCATTCTCTTCCAGTCACACTACTACCTTATAAGCATTCTCTTCCAGTCACACTACTACCTTATAAGCATTCTCTTCCAGTCACACTACTACCTTATAAGCATTCTCTTCCAGTCACACTACTACCTTATAAGCATTCTCTTCCAGTCACAATACTACCTTATAAGCATTATCTTCCAGTCACACTACTACCTTATAAGCATTATCTTCCAGTCACACTACTACCTTATAAGCATTATCTTCCAGTCACAATACTACCTTATAAGCATTCTCTTCCAGTCCTACCTTATAAGCATTATCTTCCATTCACAATACTACCTTATAAGCATTATCTTCCAGTCACACTACTACCTTATAAGCATTATCTTCCATTCACACTACTACCTTATAAGCATTATCTTCCAGTCACAATACTACCTTATAAGCATTATCTTCCAGTCACAATACTACCTTATAAGCATTATCTTCCAGTCACAACACTACCTTATAAGCATTATCTTCCAGTCTATTTCCTGTAGTGGCTGGGTTTTCTGAATCATTCTGTATCCATGACATTGTAGGACTACATCCATACAGGAAAATGTTCTTCCTCCTGGAGTGTCCATGGTAATCACAGTATACCTGTAAAATTCAAACACTATAATATGTGTCCATGGTAATCACAGTATACCTGTTAAATTCAAACACTATAATATGTGTCCATGGTAATCACAGTATACCTGTAAAATTCAAACATTATAATATGGGCCCTTTTAAAGAAATCAGACTGAAAACAGTCGGATTATTATCAAATGTGGAGAATTTTAGATTTTTAAAAGGTATATGTAAAGAGAAATTCTGTGTCATTGTATTCGGAAATTGGAATTTATTCTGTATTTTTCATTTATGGTATCTTTGCAATAATATTTTCTTGTCTTATACATTTTTGTTAAAATGAAGAGCATTTTTATATTTCCTGTTGAGAATTTTTATGTTTATTGGAATTTTTGAGTCCATTAAAAAATTTCCCCAATGTTGACTAGGGTTTTAAAATATGGTAGCATGGACTGCTTTCGTCAGTAGTAAGACCTGTTCTGATGTTTGTTTTTGGATGTGCAGAATGTATTAATGAAAAGCCATGTTTAATTGGAAGGCTGACATTAAAACCAATGCCCAGTGTCAGGATGTGTCATATTCACATTTATGATTATGACAGAAAAGGTTGTAGAGTAAATATTTATGACTTACCAGTGGCGACTTATTTATCATTTGTAGATACTGTAGAAGTCCTTTGGTATGGTAAATAGTAGGGTGTAACTTAGGACAGGGGTTGTCCCATCTTCTGTTCAGATCTTCTGCTGATAATGAACATCTATGGCTAGAAATATTGAAACACTTTTGTGAAAATTACTGCATCTTCCATTGAAGACAAACTTAATATTCAATATAAATGGGTAATTACTTTATACAATTAAAGCATAAAAAGTCAATGCAAAAACTTATTCAAGTCCATATAATAGAAAATCAAATTATATGCCAAGTCAGTTTAAGGATGTTTTCGCTCCTCTTGTTTTTGAATATTTTGCCAGATATTCGTAATCCTCTGGTTTTATCCATGTAGTGCCATTAAAAATATTTCCCCACTAACCTGTACTTTTCTTTTCATAACTTTATTACATATAGTTTAAAAAGCTATATTTGAAAATCCTATAAAATCCTTGTTATTTTTTCATGTTTTTTTTCAAAGAAAAATGGTGCTAATGTTAAATGTTTGAAAAGTCTAGAGAGAATTATTTCCCGCCAAATATTCAATGGCTTATATCTCGAAAACAAGCACAGAGACCCTTCACTTTTTTCTGCTTTTTTAGTTCATTTATTTATATACTATCAATTTATAATAGTCTTTTAAAAAGCTTGTTATTTTGAAACAGAGAAGCGAACATCCTTAATAAAATATGAACTTTCTACTGGCATCTTGTTTTATGAGTATTTGCACAGAATGGTTATTGGTCAGTGTTGATTAAATTTATACTACAAATAGTCGTTTTATTATAAAAGATATTTGTTTCTTAATTTCTTTAATAATATAAGTTTCTACAATTTATAGATAGATAGACATACTTTCCATTAATGACTCCATCTGGGTTTAACATAGGCACAATTTTAAAAATGAAATTTTCTCTAAGTTGTTGAGCTGCTGGTTTCTTACTGAGCAAAAAGTCAATGGTTCCTGTATTGTAAAAAATAAATTTTAATCTTTACCAGCATGTTTGCGTGCAAAGCTTTTACATCAAACACAAGTTTTGGCTATTCTACTTAGTCACTTTTGGTTTTTATGGTCTCAAGTATTCTCCATTTCTCGCTTTACAAACTTTAGTCTTGAACGTACCTGATGAAGTTTATTCCAGAAAAAACTTGTCGTATGCATTGGAATTGGTATGATACTTTTATTTAAGATTGATTGATTGTTGCATGCTTAAGGTCAGGTCCAGTGGCAAATATTTAAAGTCTTGTTTAAGTGATCCTAAATGCATAATAACATATCATATAGTGTTCTATACATTGACATATATATATTGTACTAAAAATTCAGATTTAGGTTTTGGATGCAACGCATTTAAAATTTGAAGAAATTACTAAAATCATTCTGTATTTTAAATGTCAACACAATTAATGTAAATAAAAGATAAGCATTCATACTTTTAAATCAAAGCACTGTAAGCGCTGTAGGCAGTTAACCAAAAACCAAGGAAAACATAATTATGAAAACTGTGGCTATGTTGCTTCATTTTTTTTAAGATTTAAAAGAACAAACATTAAACATTCATATATTGTGCATTTATGTTCATTTAATTAATTAATTATTAAGGCAAATAATTCATATTTTATCAAGGTTTTCAAAAGCAACGCATATATCAAGTATATTTTTAATGGTCATGTGTCTGCAGTGGTACAAGTTCGAAATGATTGCAGTTGTTCTAGTTGATAGTTAACGTTGGTATTAGTTGACTGTTAGTAGTTCAAGTTGACTAAGTACGAGCTTGTAATAGTATGCATGGACTTGCTTCCCTGGAAAGAAAACTGAGTTTGTGTTCTACAGTGCAAAAGTTATGAGACACAAATCAGACAAATGTTTACTACTACGGGGATCAAAAGTGAGGTCTGACTGACCTGCCCATAGTAAATATAAATGACCCACGCCTTCACCCCAAGTCCATGATGTCTAAGTTTGGAATAAAATGACAGGTGATTATAATAAAGTTGGTCAAACACTCTTGGGCTTGAAAGATATGTTTTCTTTAAAATGAGCCATATTAAAATGAATTTTTTTATAGAACCAGAAATTATTCAAAATATAATTAAGGTAAATTCTTTAAACCTACTCATTTTTTGCATCAATAAAATTTTATAATAAACAAGAAATAATTGTAACAGAATGCTGTTACGAAGTCGCCCAAACAAAGCTGCCATAATTATTCATTCCCATGGTCGCCTGACATTGGGCAAAGTCTAGTACACATTGATTAGGTCTAGTAAAGTGATATGCATATGTGATGCCTATGAGATTGACCTTGTATGTCATTCAAATCTGTTTGAAATGACGAACAGGAATGAATATGGTTTAGGAGTTGGTATCTCAAACTTTTACAAGTTCTTAAAACACACACAAGAGGGGATGGGGTGACCTTAGGGACTAACCCTATATTTCATTTGATTTTTTTTATGTTGTCCCATACATGAATATATATATGGTTTAGGGGTGGGGATCTCGACCGTTATCAAGTTTTCAAACAGGAGGGGGTGGGGTGACCCCAGTGACTTCCCCTATATTTCATTTGATTTGTTATATTGCCAAATACATGAGTATATATGGTTTAGGGGTGGGGATCTCATCTGTTTCCAAGTTATCAAACAGGAGGGGGTAGGGTGAACCTTAGGACTCTCCCTATATTTCATTTGATAAGTTCTGCTGTCCCATACATGAATATATATGGTTTAATTTAGAGGTCGGGATCTCGACTGTTTCCAAGTTCTCAAACAGGAGGGGTGGGGTGACTGCAGGGACTCCCCTATATTTCATTTGATTTGTTATATAGTCCCATACATGAGTATATATGGTTTCGGGGTGAGGATCTCGACCGTTTCCAAGTTCTCAAACAGGAGGGGTGGGGTGACCCCCAAGGACTCCCCCTATATTTCATTTCATTTGTTATATTGTCACATACATGAATATGTATGGTTTATGGGATCATTATTTTTTTGTATGCTCCAATGAACAAATTATGTCTTTAAGAGAAAGATATATACCTACATATTACACACAAAATCCTTCCCAATTGAAACTTACTGGTCTATTATCACACTGTAACGTGCCACTGCTAACAAAAGTGCGCATGTTTCTAAGACATATTGAAAAAATATTTTCATAATACAAAGCATGTTACAATAACTTCATATCCACGTTGCAATTAAGAATTTTGCAAACAAATCAACCAACTATGGTTTATTTCAATTTTATTGTATGATATCACTTATTTATTTATTGTGTTTCTTGCTTGTAAATGTATAAGTATATATGTAATTGTTAATGTATAATTGTTATCCCCTTGTAGCACCATACGTGTGCTTGAGTTTAAATAAATTGTCTTGTCTTGTCTTGGGATCTTGACCGTTTCCAAATTCTCAAACAGGAGGGGTGGGGTGACCGCAGGGACTCCCTCTATATTTCATTTGATTTATTATATTGTCCCATACATGAATATATTTGGTTTAGGGGTGGGGATCTCGACCATTTCAAAGTTCCCAAACAGGAGGGTTGGGGTGACCCCAGGGACTCCCCTGTATTTTTTTTATTTGATTAGTTATATTGTCCCATACATGAATATATATGGTTTAGGGGTGGGGATCTCGACTGTTTCCAAGTTCTCAAACAGGAGGGGTGGGGTAACCCTAGGGACTTCCCCCTATATTTCATTTGATTAGTTATATAGTCCCATACATGAATATATATGGTTTAGGGGTGGGGATCTCATCCGTTTCAAAGTTATCAAACAGGAGGGGGTAGAGTGACCCAAAGGATTCCACCTATATATCATATGATTTGCTTACATTCAGGTATCATATAATCTAGTTGCACTATTTGCGAAAACAAAGTAAGAAACTTCCAGCTATGTTAACTGACCCTTCAAAATTGAGAAAAAAATTGCAGTAATATGTTTACACTTTAAAAGCATCTTACATGCATTATCAACATTTATCACTAATAAAGAAGATTTATACTGTCACCAGGAACATATATATTGTTAGATATACTGTTCCCAGCTGTCACATTGTATTGGATTTTGACATTAAAATTTGTCAAAAAGTAATTTTGAGTTTCTGTATCAAATATTTTTTGCTTTTTCTTTCTTTTACATATATCTTTTGGTTTCCATTTGTAGTGTTTATATTTATTTACCATGCATAGATGTATTTTGTCACCTGCCTGACATTTTTTTTTGTAGTTGATCTCCAAAACCCGGAATTACCCTTATCCGCTTCCGGAATCGGACCAGATATTGTAATTGTCTACACGGCATCCATTGTTTTTCAATGTTGTTTTTGTCAGTCAGATACGATTTTACTCGAATTTACACATTACTTGTAGGCGATTATCTGTATAAAGCTAGCGGTTGGACAAAATGAACATCGCTGTCATGAATAATAAAGATGAAAATACGTTTTGAGATCGTTTATTTAGAGACTTTGGTAAAAAGGTTTGCAAAGTTATTTTTAATTTTCTTTCAAGTGAAAGGTCCGTCGGGCGTAGCTAGTAACCAAGTCGAGAGTCCGATTGCAAAAGTGGAAGGTCGCGGACCTCGGACCACCGCTGATTTGAACCCCTGCCTCCAAATTGAAAAGATACGAAAATTTCGTCTTCTAATTTGAAATTGCCGCCAACAGCATGAACAGTGGAACTTATTAATAGACTACTGACGTAGTTGTAACACGTATTGACGACAAACAATATTCCTACGACTTTTGCCATTTGGGAAATCTAAACTACTTGTCTTTAAAGATTTTCGGCGATTAAATATTTCATACAATTGTTCTTTGACATCTTAGCCAAAAGCACAGGGGATAATAAACTACATAAGGATTCCTAATGTGCTCTACTTCCTATGTGCAACTTCAAAACTTTTGGGTGGTTCGACGATCATTTAAGGTTTTTTCTGGTCATATTTTTGTAATCCAGAATTAAAAGTATGAAAAAACTATTCAATTAGTTATAAATAACATTATATCCAGCTAGATAATAACAATGGCACGTATTTCAGCATTTATTGGGTAGAACACAAATCTAGGGTGCTCGCATAAGGCAGCTTAACTGCCTAAAAATCAAATTACCTTTCATAACCCAGCTAGAATTACTTTCTCCCGGATGAACTCTTCCGGAAAGAAATATATAAGGTCTACTTCCTGAAATATAATAAAGAATATTTTATCTCTATATTAATGTAGACTCAATTAAGTACAGGTTTGATATTGGTAAGTTGCACAATCAAGATGGACAAGCATGCTTGTATACTTAGAATTGATTTTATTGTTGATTCCTTTGGTGTGTGGTCCAATGGTTTACAGATAGCAAAAGACTGCATGTAATTTTAGAGTCTTAAAAAGTTTTAGTCTCAAAAATATATCAATAAAATGTTATTACAGTGTCTACCTTACACCCTATTTTCTCACTTCTGTGTCTGTCTTTTTGAGTTGTTTTCATAGTTTACCCTTTGGAGACAACTAAGAATTTGTACTTTATTATTACCACAATTTACTTACTAAGTTCTTCTACATTATCTCTACTATACGACTTTGGCTGAGCTGTGACAGTTAATACTGGTACATTATTACCACTTATCGTTTGACAAAATGTTTGGTTACGGAAAAATATCTGTGAATGATCAGTAGATCTATCCCATATTTGAATATGAGTCTGAAAAATAAAATATAACATTACTATCACCAGTTGTCTCTTACAGATTGATATATGTATAGAATATTAAATATATATACGAGTACATCAGTACATTGATACATGTCTTAAATAATATCTATCTGCGGAGGGGCAGTGTATATTTGGAGTAGACCTTGACCTCAATTTCAGTTATGGCCCAAGTATCTCAAATCCAACGAACATAGGTCTTTATTATTTACAGTTAATGAGTAATACAAATATACAGATTAATATAATAAAATGAACATAGGTCTTTATTGTTTACAGTTAATGAGTAATACCAATATACAGATTAGTATAATAGTAAAGGGAAGACAATTCCTATAAGATACATTGTTCAACAGATGAATATGAATTGTTGCATTAGTTATTGTAATTTTCAGATTGATATCACCATGAAAATCACTGTCCATGCTTAAACAAAATTATAGGATGCATGTATCCATGTTGATGTTTTATTTATGCAAGTTATCTCTAATATGTCTATGACTGTTTAGTTCTATTCATTGCCTATCATTAGATAATGTTCTGACAAATTTTTATCCCATATCAAATATCAGTACATTGCAAAACTTTCCACATCCTTATAATCTCAGACTTGCCATTTCAAAGTGTTGAAATCACAGAAGTTTTGCTGAGACAGGTATTTCTTACATTATCTAAAGACATTTATGAGGTACAGGTTGTGTGATTACAAAAGTTTAGGGGTTGAAATAAGACTAGCAAATAAGTAGCTTCACATATCCATAAATCGGTCAACTTCAATATTGAGTATTACATAAAAATAACTGGAATTGTGGGGTATATGTCTATGATACAGCAACACAAACATCAAAACAAATAAAGCCAAAAAAGCATCTGCATCAAGAGTGCTAATTATCTTCATCCATATGCATATTAAAATTGTTTCAAGAATAAAATGGGATATTGTAGCAGGAATTTAATGAGAAGTCAGTAAAATGGCCATGAAGAAAAACTTGGAGAATTATGTCATTAAGCGTAAGATTAAAGTCCAATAACTCCAGAAAAGCAAATTCAAGAATTTTCACAATCAACAACATTCCCAACAAATATATAAAGTTTGTAGCAAATTTATCCAAGAATACTGGAGTTATTGTGTGACATCTGGAAAATTGTCTTAAACCTGATGGTTCAAGTTCCATAGCTCTGGAATAACAAATTGGAATATTTTCAATTAAGGTAGCTTACTTTTAACAATTCCATCAACAGCATAAAGTTTCAAGAAAATCAATCCAAGAATACTCCAGTTAGTGCATAATATGTGAAAAATTGCCTAAAATCTGACAGTGCACTGATTCAAATATTCCTTACAATTTTCATGAAATTTGATGAAAGCATTTGCTAGCTTTTGTACTAGAAGTGAACAGATGGTTGGACAGAAAGACCATAGACCATAATAGTCTATGACGGATGTATTAAAAGACTTTTAACAGTCTACATATGGACTCCAACAAAAGACAAAACTGTAATGTAGTATATGTATATTGGAAATGGTATGCCATGTAACATATATCTAAAGGTATGTTAACCTATATTCACCTGTAATGTAGTATATGTATATGGGAAATGGTATGCCATGTAACATATAACCTATAGATAACCTATACTCACCTGTAATGTAGTATATATATATATGGGAAATGGTATGCCATGTAACATATATCTACTCACCTGTAATGTAGTATATGTATATGGGAAATGGTATGCCATGTAACATATGTCTTTGTTATGTTTGAATTTGACTGTGAATGTTGCTGTAAAATATGTCTTCCCCTTAACACCTCCTGTAGCCTGAGCACTCCGTGTAAAATGGTTTTTATAATAGCAGATATCTGTACCCACTCTTGACCAAAATGGTCGTCCTTCTATAGACTCTGTCACAGAAAACATCACTGGTTTCATTCCTGAAATTAATCAATATATTTTCTGCTTGAAATTTTTAAAAGCAGATTTAGTAATACTAACAACTTATGATATCAGTCAATAAACAAATTCAGCATAACCTTTTAACTTAGTCATGCAAGACTAACCATCAAATAATATTTCCTCAATATTTAATCTGTATCATTACTAACTTTCATAAATATTAAAACTAAATCTGTATCATCACCTTGGGAAAGGATTAGTAGCCTTACTGGTAGGTACTTTGGTTTTTTCAATCTAGTCTGTATTCAAACATGTATAACCCCACCACATTCTTTGTATGCTTGTCCCAAGTCAGGAGCCTGTACTTCGATGGTTTTGTTGGTTCATGTCTGTTATATTTGTTTTTTTGTAAATTGTTTTGTTATAAAATAGGCTGCTAGTTTTCTCTTTAATTTTTTCACATTTTTCATGACCGGGCTTTTTATAGCCGACTATACTGTATGGGTTTTTCCATTGTTAAAGACTGTACGGTTGCCTACAATTGCTTACATCAACTTCATTTTAACTCTGATGGATAGATGTCCGATTGGTGATCATACCACATCTCCTAATTTTCATATCAATCTATACTTACCAAAGTTAAACTGACTGTTTAGTTTCTCACAGTTGACAATATTAAATCTGTATGGTATATCTGCTATCATGTTACTAACTTCAAAGTAGAACCATTGATGGTGGTGGTTTGTGTTGACATCTGGGTTCAAGATTAAGTCATATTCAAACTCCCTCACCTAAAAATGCAAAGAAAACTTTACAATTAAAAACATGACTTTGCAGTTGACATGAACAATCTATTATCTTAATTTGAAGGTAAATCTGCTTTGGTATATCCATTTTCTAAATGGTACAGTTTGTCTCTAAATTACATAGTTGTCCTAAAACAAGGGCTTACAAAAATATTTGAGCCAGCGGGACATTTTTGTCTTACCTCGATTTTAATCCTTTTAGACTTTATAGTAACAAAAGGCAATCATAGTAATCATTTGGGTGTCATGTCAATGACTAACATAGAACGATATTTAATTTCAGACTTTTGATATAAATTTGATGTTCTGACATAAACTGTTACATTGATAGTGCATCATACGAATTGTGCAACATCAGCATACTAATATCTGCAATAGACTCTTTATTTATGCAATATCACACTGTCATTACCTTTACGTTTGTTTTTTAAAAGCATATTTTTATAATACCAGATGTTGACTTCACAATAGTAAAATACTGACCAGAGATGGATACCTAAAATCTGTGTACCTTTACAAAGGATAATTGAGTTTAAGGAGTTCTTTCCACATTATTTCTTAAAGAAAATACTTGAAACGAATGTAAGATAAAGGTATCAATGATATGTTTAGTATTTTGAAGAATATGGATGCATAATTTAATCTCACACCTGTCAGTCAGGGGTACTACTTGTACAAGTAATCTTTATTTACTTGAAGAAGTAAAAAAAATATACTTATATAAGTTAATTATAATGTTTGAATAATCTCCCCTTAATTTTCTCAAAAATTCACTTGTATAAGTAAATTTTTTTTACAATCCCACAAAAATTCTCAAGTTTTGAGATGTAAAAACATGCCTTTAATGATTTTTCCCAGGTTAGCTCATAATTTTTTCTTAGAGTTCAATGTTTCATCTCATTAATTCAATAAAGAAACTGATTGCGCAAAGATCTTAAGTATTTGCGCAAGGCCTTCAAAAATTGCTCCTTGTTGGGGGCTTGTAAATGAGCAGTGTTCTGAAGGTAACAGACAAATGAGATTTTCATTGTCCATGAAATTACACTTAAATGATTAGTTAAGACATCTGCAAAGGACAGACAATCAAAAATTCTATTAGAGCAAAGAAGTCCTACGAATTCAAGAAAAGAAGATATGATGACTTTTTCACTTATATAAGTAAAAAAATCTGAATGTCTAAGGGACATAACTAAGCCATTTTTTTTTTACCTATACAAGTAAATAAAATACACTTGTATAAGTATCCTACAAATTTACTTATATAAGTATATTAATATTACTTCTTCAAGTAAATAAAAATTACTTATACAAGTAGTACCCCTGACTGCCTGTGCACATGCTCACACCGTGTACAAGTTCAAACAACATGGTTCCAACGATTTTTCGCTATATCTTTTCAAATATATCATCAAATGATATTTTGATACGAATTCTGATAGTCTAAATATTTTTTTACTAAATTCAATAGATGCAAAACAGTGAAATATAAGAAAATAACTTTAAATAGGCCAATCGATGTCCAGTACAAAATAGTTTACCTGTCACCTCAACAGGTAAATTTGAGTTGTCAAACAACTTATTAACCTTGATTGTAATGAGGGGTATTAAAGTACGGCTTGTTTTTATAGAATTTATAAATCATTTCACTTTTATGAATGGAAATGTGTGGCTGTTAAAGGCAAAAGGTCAGGTAAAAAAAATTGCATAAACTTCAATTTTTTTCTGAATTATGTTAAAATGGCAAACCCAAGTTACATGTTCAGTTCAGACTCGCCACAACAAGTTCAGAATATAATTTGTCAGACTTGTCCAGACATTAGGACTGTTTCGGAAGCTTTGCCTAAAACTAAGAGTGCTTATTATGAACCAATGCTGTTTATTCAATAAAGGTAACAGTAGTATACCACTGTTCAAAAGTCATAAATTGATTGAGAGAAAACAAATCTGGGTCACAAACTAAAACCGAGGGAAACACATCAACTATAAGAGGAAAACAACAGAACAACAGAAACACTGAAGTGCAACAAAAACAAACGCCAACATACATAGAAACGAACTATTTGATATTTGCCATATTCCTGACAGCTAATGCATTCTTAAAAAGGCAAAGTTTTTGCCCATTGAATTTGAAAATCAAAAAAATTAATATCTTTATATAATAACATGCTCCAGATGCTCATCAGATATTACTATGCCTGCTGTAGATATTTGTTATTTTTCAATTATTACTAACAGAAATTAAAATATTTTACCCATATTGCTTTCCTGAGATTCCCACATTCAAACTGAGCATTAAATCTAAGGGAATTAGCTCCCACTGCATCCAACTGACTACCAATTCTGAAAAAAACCAAATTAAAAGTCTCAGTACTCCTCTGTATCAAGTTATCTTCCTTTGACATCACAGAATATTTTATTGTATAAAATGACATTTTGATAAATTAAACTAGAGGCTCCAAGGAGCCTGTGTTGCTCACCTGATATTTTTGTTTACAATTGATGCATGAAATAATGCAACCATTATACTTTTACTTTAGTTTCAGAGATATAAGCCAAAATCGACGGACTACGGATGCCAAGTGATGAGAAAAGCTCACTTGGCCTTCAGCCCAGGTGAGCTAAAACTTAAGTATTTACCATCAGAGGTTCTCTCCTGTTAGCTACAGTACAGCATTTTCATTTTAAGGTTCATGTGGACCCTTTGGCTAAAATGACTGTATTTTCACGTCAAAATTACAGAGTACAGACAAACCTGTGCATCTGGACAAATTTTAAGACATAGCATGCTCTAGGTAAATAAAATTTAAATGCATTTGATGTTTTAGAAAATTAAAAACAACTGGATTTTGCCCTGATAAAATTAACAAACAGTTGAGTTACACTTGATATATCATATATATAGTCCGCTCAGTGACACAGTTTAAATCTCCACTTATTGTCAGGTATCTATTGTCCCTCTATTTTCCATGCCAATCAGTACAGTTCACTTCAATTATTACCCATGGGAAAGTTCTGAAACTTCTTTCCCAACTCTGTTTATTTTGACACCTTTTGTAGGAACTTATAGAAATTTTATTTGATTTTTGTATTGCTGGGTTGCTTTCTTAATACATATAAGTAAACTGACCTAAGTTCATCCCTATTACTAAGATTAGAATTCCTGTTACAGTAAGTTGATCCACATCTTTTAATGGTGGCATCCACATCATATACGTCTCTATCTATCACATGCTCTGGGTGGATCATTCTGTCTATATCCTCAAATACTTTGGCCCTGTAAAAACATACAATTCATTTGATTTCCTTGTCATAGTTAAATCACAAAATTTCCATATCTTACAACAAACCATACCATCTTCTATTTTTTTTCCAAAACTTAAATTTTTCTATCTAAAATTTAGAAATTTGACCCCTAGAGACCACTAATATGTAAAGGAACCTCAAAAACTTTCAAAACAAATTATGTTATTCTCCTACCTTCACCATAGCTTGAATTTAAGTTTAGTTTTGTGTGGTCAAAAACTTGTTTCTTTACACAAAATATTTCTTCACTATCATTATATCAAAGAATCAACATTTACACAAAATTAAATTATTTACAAATAAACATTATACCTTTGAACACCAAATTTTCTCCTGTATAATGGTTCCAAATAAGGACAACCTCTAGCTCCAATTAGATCAGGGTAGCCTATTTTCTCAAACCTATACACTCCTTTAGTGCAACAAGCCTTGTCCTGATATACTAACACATCATGGAAATATAAATCAGTATCTTCATCTTCACTACTTGACCCTGTCTCATCAACGTCTTTTTGATCTTGAGAAATATTCATATTTTCAAATTCAGTTTCAATTTCTAGTAAATCTGGATAGCTTGTGGTACTTGTTTTCTTTACTCCTTTTTTATTATTGTTACATTTTTTGCCTGCTTTTGATTTCTTGCTTGTCTTTGGTTGAGAAATTAATGTTTTTTTGATAGCACCTTTTTGAGGCAAGTCTAAAGAAAAGAGACTAGATCCGGTTTTCATGTTTATAGCTGTAGCTGAATCACACCGCCCAGGCCGATAAGAGTCAGGATAGTCAGATTCATAACTACTATAACCACTGGTCCGTGAAGAATATAAGAAGGTTCCCTCCTTTTGATACAGAGAATTTTTAACATGTTGAGCTTCAGAAGACATAAAGTTGTCAAAGTTACCAGTTGGTATATAAATAGATGTTGGAGGAATCAGTGATGGGTCAGAATCATCATCTTCTTTAATCTGAAAAATTTCAAAGAAGTTTTAATTTCTCATGTCTCTTTTAAAATGTCTACAAGCAGTTCTGTTCATATGAATAATATTATTCAGTTTTACTCTCAAACAATTATCTTGAACAATTCTGATGGTCATATGGAAACAACACATAGATTTATAAGGTGAAGAAAATACTTTTTTTCATTAAGAAACATTAAATTTTTTTTAACTAAATCTTATCAATATTGCACACTGTTAATTCTGAGTTTTTGCATGCTTTTGTAACTGCGATCATTGAACAATGAATTGAAATATGAGATTAATTATTAGGATTTAAGGAGATGCTGCATACAAATAATGCATTCAAATATTAAATGAGAGTTTTTATTTTTACAAAACCTATTCCTCCATCTGCAATAATGAAAATGTTGCAAAAATTTCAAGATTTACAGTATCTACTTCACAGCAGAAATCAGCAATGACCCTGCATAGTTTCATGTATCGGGTCAGTTCTGTTGGAATTTTATCAAGAGCTAGTGAAACAACTGTTAAATTCTAAAATCAATATAACTTCTAGAAACAACTTTATAACTTATTCCACACTTTGAAATCTGCTCTGGGTCAAATTCAGTTGTTAACCCAGATAAATGACCAAATTTCAAAATTGATAATAAATTAATCAGTTTGGGTTTTTTCTCCTCAGGGTAATAAAAACCACATTTAGCTGACATTCATTTACAGGAATACTAGCTTTTTTTTGCTTTTTTTTTAAAAGTTTATGGCAGACATGATGACAGACCCTGCATGATTTCAAGTGATGGCAATAAATTACATATGCCCTTTAAATTAAGTTAAGTAAAAATAATGTGTCAAACAGTAATTTTATGTTGTACCTCAATTTCAAATATTTCAGGAAAGAATTTATCATACATTCGTAGATCATCAGGATTTCTTTTAAAAGGTTGTGGTGCTTCTCCTTGATCATCTTCAGTCTCTTCAGAGTTATCTGTCTTGAATCTCTCGTCATCACTGTCAATATCATCATCATCCTCTAAAGAACTACTGTCACTGTCTGGGGTCTCGCTGGAACTTCCATAGCTTATACTACCTTCTACAAATACAGTTATCACTTATTCAGATGCCAAATGCAATTACCATTATCACAAATATAAATTGCCTGCCCTCTATTATTGCACATAGAGAATTATTTAAACATGAATAAAATAACAATTCCCTAGTTGAACATCAAGGTACAACTATACATGCATATATTATCTGAAAGCCTTAGATTGGTCTATGTGAAATGAGTATCATTCCATGATTCACTACAAAGCATACATGAAATAAATTCTGCAAAAAGTACTAGTCAGAAGGCAAGTAATTTTTGCAATGCTCTCTAGAATTTTTGTACATCTATGATGCTTACCGAGTTGGAAATGATACATAATTTCAGATTATTTTTTTTCTAAAATCAAGTAAAATTAAGTCAGACATTGGTATGCTAAGACATGGATCCAAATTAAATATTGTTGTGAGTGCAAAATTACTTCAATTAACAGTAATTAGATTTTAAGGAAAGGATTTCTATGTCATTTTATTTTCAGAGAAAGACGGAATGCTCTTAATATAAAAAAAACAGTCAGGTCCATTTCTTTATTTCAATGAATGTACTGATAAAGTATAAAATTATTATGTTACCTTGTCTGGTACTTTCAGGGTAAAGTTCAGATTCTGGCAGTTCAAATTTGACTGGACTCCTAATATCACATGGTAGTTTATTCCTAGGGCAACATTTCCTCATTATCACACTTGCCAGCAGTATCAAACTCTCCATCTCTCTACAATCTATAACATCCTGGGCAGTGTCATATAAAACTTGTATCCCATTAGCATCTGCTAATGCTTTTCTTCCTGATTCTGCCAATAAATGATAGCTTCATTAAGGACAAGGTATATTAATAGCTAAATTCACCCAGAAATTTTGACTTATACAGTGGATTAATTTATTTTCTTTGGTACCATTTTCACCTATACCCACAAAATCCATGAAAACTGGTATCCAAAGCATGTCAATTAAAAAACAAGAATGTGTCCATAGTACATGGATGCCCCACTCGCACTATCACTTTCTATGTTCAGTGGACCGTGAAATTGGGGTCAAAACTCTAATTTGGCATTAAAATTAAAAAGATCATATCATAGGGAACATGTGTACTAAGTTTTAAATTGATTGGACTTCAACTTCATCAAAAACTACCTTGACCAAAAACTTTAACCTGAAGCAGGCACTATCATTTTCTATGTTCAGTGGACCGTAAAATTGGGGTCAAAACTCTAATTTGGCATTAAAATTAAAAAGATCATATCATAGGGAACACTTGTACTAAGTTTCAAGTTGAATGGACTTCAACTTCATCAAAAACTACCTTGACCAAAAACTTTAACCTGAAGCGGGACAGACAGACGGACGAACGAACAGACGCACAGACCAAAAAACATAATGCCCCTAGGTGGGGCATAAAAATCAACTTGGCAAATTACTATAGTTATACAACACTGAAAACTATCACATTGGCTTTAGAGATATAACATGTATTGGGCAAAATTTCAAAATTTCAAACTATGTTTTTAATTATTTGGAGTAGAAAAATATTTCAGCTTGCTTGGAATTTCAAATATATATTGAAAATGCGAACACACATTATGTACTATACACCTTATATTTAAGAATCCTATATATTTAGGCCAACCAGAATGCTATTCAAACATTTAGTTTGGTGATGCTTTAAGGATATTCAGGTCTTTCTTAGGTTAACATGTCTGTGTTTAGTATCTATGTATAGGCTGTTTCATATTAACAATACATTGTACCCAGGAAAGGCACATTCAAAATAGGGTAACCATCTACAGAGGCAAATTTGGAATTCCACTTTCATTTTCACTGTACTTGACACTAACCCATAATTGGAATTTCAAAGTGCCTAATGCTTTTACGGATCACCCCTTAGTAATACTTACTAAGGTTAGTGATATTTTTAAGGATATTCAGGATAGCTTTTCTAATGTTAACATGTCTGTGTTTAGTATCTAACTGGTGCCAGTCTTGGTACAGACCCAACAAATGTGGTACATGTTCTCCTCCTATAGTCCTGGCAGCATTGTTTCCTATAAAATACAGGAAATTCCTCATTTACACATAATACCAAGCAATAGAATACAATTAACACATATTTAAAATTTAATCAAAAACTAGCTGCAACTCATATACCAGAAAAATTCAGTAGTTTTCAGGTAACAAAGTGTCTTATTTGGTTTCTATAATACTAGAGAATTATTTTTTGACAAACTGCATTCTGCTGTAGGAGGGGCCTTGGTGGCTGAGTGGTCTAAGTAGTCGAACTACGTAACTATATCACTAGCCAGTCAACACTGAGGTTATTAATTTCGAATACCGCACGTTGCAGGTGCGCTTGACTCTTGACTTGGATTGTCAGTTTTCCTACCAAAGGTTGTGGTTCTCTTTGGCTTCCTCCACCAATACAAACTGATCGCCATGAAATAGCACAATAGTGCTGAAAGTGGCATTAAACACCAATTAATCAATCAATCATTCTTCTGTATCACTTTACATGAATACTTCCTAGATTTGGTTAAGTTATATAAAATACGTACTAGATTTGGTAAAGTTATATAAAATATATACTAGATTTGGTTTAGTTATAAGTGTAAAATATGTACTAGATTTGGTTAAGTTATATAAAATACTTACTAGATTTGGTTAAGTTATATAAAATTTCTAGTGCTAATTTGAGGACTGTAGTGTGTTTCCTTCCACACTGTTGAATGACTCTGAACATAGGAGGGATAGAGTTGTGCTTTCCCAAATACGAGGCATTCACACCTAAAATATAAAATATTTCAATTTTAAAGTTTAGTTCAACATTTTACCTCAAGTTTTTTTTACAGGACTGATACACTTTGGTTCCATTAATAGACAAAAATGGGTTTCTGTATTTACCTTGTGCATATATTGTATATCTTACAGAAGGCTTTGTTTATCTATATTTTCCTAGTTTGAAATATTTTGTTACCTAGTGACAGTAATATCCAAAAGTGATCTTAACTTCTGTTCAAGTTACTAACAGTAATTTTTATTCAAAATATCTCAAAAACAAACTCATGTCAAAACTCAGAATTGATTGTCTATAAATAACCATTAGTCTAAACAAATTGTGATTAATGAATTCAGTCTTGTATTGTCCGTGGTCTTGTACTCCAAAATTAAATTTGCTACACATGGGTGCATTATAAAGTTTAATAAGCAAAAAATCAGAGAAAAATTGATATCACGATGTTTGTTTACGTTCCACCATGTTTTTTTAAAATTTAAAATGGTACAATGCACCCTTATTTCTTTTCAAAACTTTAATAATTAACCTATTAAATCAATATTAATGTGCAATTTTAATTTAATAATCCAATACTAACTGATAAATATCAGAATTAAATTCTTTAATACAAATTTCTCATTTCTTTTTATACCATTGCATAATGTTAACTGGAATCTGCTTGTATTTTACACTATGAACAAAGTGTAGTTGTCAGCCAGGAACCCAGTATAATGATTTAAAAACTACAAAACGTTATGTTATTCGTTCAGATTTGGTGTTTCATACTGCTGCATGTGTTTTGTTTTAGCTAAATTTTCCTTCGAACTTAAATGTGATGAATATATCTAACAGTATTTTATTGAAGGATTCCACTATTTTACTTTCAAATTCATATTTTTTTGTATCATCTATTAAGAATGGATTTTCCACACACTCTCACCGTATTTATTTACAATTAACACGTTCTATTCCTATTTCTGGTTAATGACATAACCAACAGTTCTAATTGTTGTTGTGATTTTGGCTTATTTAAACACTCATGAAGCATTTTAGAATCATTTAAAAGCATTTTCAACTTTTACTTGTTGATGGAAAATGTAAATACTGCAAACAATCACACATGATTTGAAATTACTAGAGTTTTAACTACACGTTTTTTAACATGTGACAACATTTTTTCCGGAATTCTTGTGGCAAAAAAGGGTGTGCAGACAATTTACCAGTACAGCTTATACATGACTGATTATGATTAATTACAGAGACACCAGAAATTGACATCTATGTGTTTTTGAAAGAGCAAAAGATAATCTTAAAATTAATGCTTGAGAATTATCTAAAGAACTAAAGGTGTTGAAAAAGGGAAATAGTATGCAATGTGGGTAGTTCCTGACAACTAAAGTTTTTTCTGACAAAATTAGAACATTATTACTTACTGTTGTTGGTGTATGACTTGAACACTTGTAACAAACATTGCAGGTTTTTAAACTGACAAATATTACTCTTTATTAATGATAAAGTTATCAGCAGTGTTCTGTGTAATCGAGCTTTGGTAGAAAATTTTCTGTCTGAAAATATAAAACATTTTAAATCTAAACTGAATGTTCTTCATTCAGAATAATTTGTTACAATACACATAAAAATCACTTCTGAATAAGAATTTTGACTTTTGTCAAATAGAATTATGTCACATTAGCATGTAGAACACATGTAGCCTTTTCCTTATTTATGACATAAAGAATCTGCAGAAAACTAAAACAGTCTACATTGTTATGTCGTCATTCATAAATTATATATGGTATCGTAAATGAAAGTCAAACTATATTTCATTATTTTAAGTAATAAAAGATATAGCAAGTAATATTGCAGTTATAAGACTCTATGTGAAAGATGTGCAAAAATAATTTGCTGAACTTCAGACATACAATCGTTTAAATAAAAAGTTAAGCCACTTTGCATAACATTTCAATCAATAAAAATAGAATCATATCTTACCTTTATTTGACAATTTGGCCAGCACTTGATGAGCTAGTATCAACAGATCATCATTAGTAACATTATCTTCAGTTTCTCTTACCATACATTGTAATAAAATATTGGTTGTGTTAGCACTGACTAGGGCACTGGATCTCTTTCCTACCTCTAAAAATACAAATGACAATGATAAGATTATCAATCTCATAAGGGCTGTTCATACATACATTGGACCCAGGGAAGGCACTTCCAAATCTCAACTATGGTAGGGTGTCTTTTGCATAGTGGAAATGTAAGTGAAATTTTAATTTGCCTCATTTTTAAAGTGCCTTTGCTGGATACCATGTATGTTTTAATGGAACAGCCCTAAGAGGATTTACTTTTATGAATGCATAATATAGGAATTTATTAACAGTTCAGCAAAAAAATTTGTCTTTTGAAAAAAGTTATTTGTAGAAGCTTGTCTTAAATTAAAAACAATTGTTAGCATAAACTGACAAGTTTTCATATTTCCTGGTGAAGGTATTACATTAGGATCGTCATTGAACATATAATTTAAGATGCATAAATCATTAATTATTTACTTATTTTTTAAGACGGATAAAGGAAGGGGTATTTTGACAACAAAATGTGCTGATTAAAAACAATAAAAGCAAGAAGATACCTGTTCTTTGAGGTGCATTTTTTCTTTTAAGCCGAAACCCAGATGGTAAACAACCTTTTCTCACAAGACACTATAAACTGAGGCAATTGTGTTTTTACACAAGAAGTATATTACTATAAACTCAGCTACGTAAAGCTTGAGTCTAAAATAATAACACATCAAATTAAGATCTATTACTTAGTCATGTTTAAATTTTTTTTTTCTATGTTCAATTTTGACAATTTGAAACCTTTAACTCTGTTCTAATCAAATTACTTGACAATGAAAGAAATTTTGGGTTATACTATTGAGGTAGGTTTGACATTAATATGTTTAAAAATTATCTTGTGTGTGTCAACTGAAAATGACAAAACAAGACCTGAACAAAATAGTAATTCATATTGTGTACTAATACTACCTGTGTTAACTACTACAAATAAATATAACTAATTTATAAGCTATATAACATCTAGAGCTTCATAAAAGGTTAGATACACAACCAAAACCCATGTATTCCCCTTCAACAGACATACATTGACACAACCAAAACCCATGTTTTCCCCTTCAACAGACATACATTGACACAACCAAAACCCATGTTTTCCCCTTCAACAGACATACATTGACACAACCAAAATCCATGTTTTCCCCTTCAACAGACATACATTGACACAACCAAAATCCATGTTTTCCCCTTCAACACACATACATTGACACAACCAAAACCCATGTTTTCCCCTTCAACAGACATACATTGACACAACCAAAACCCATGTTTTCCCCTTCAACAGACATACATTGACACAACCAAAACCCATGTTTTCCCCTTCAACAGACATACATTGACACAACCAAAACCCATGTTTTCCCCTTCAACAGACATACATTGACACAACCAAAACCCATGTTTTCCCCTTCAACACACATACATTGACACAACCAAAACCCATGTTTTCCCCTTCAACACACATACATTGACACAACCAAAACCCATGTTTTCCCCTTCAACAGACATACATTGACACAACCAAAACCCATGTTTTCCCCTTCAACAGACATACATTGACACAACCAAAATCCATGTTTTCCCCTTCAACACACATACATTGACACAACCAAAATCCATGTTTTCCCCTTCAACACACATACATTGACACAACCAAAATCCATGTTTTCCCCTTCAACACACATACATTGACACAACCAAAATCCATGTTTTCCCCTTCAACACACATACATTGACACAACCAAAACCCATGTTTTCCCCTTCAACAGACATACATTGACACAACCAAAACCCATGTTTTCCCCTTCAACAGACATACATTGACACAACCAAAACCCATGTTTTCCCCTTCAACACACATACATTGACACAACCAAAACCCATGTTTTCCCCTTCAACAGACATACATTGACACAACCAAAACCCATGTTTTCCCCTTCAACAGACATACATTGACACAACCAAAACCCATGTTTCCCCTTCAACAGACATACATTGACACAACCAAAACCCATGTATTCCCCTTCAACACACATACATTGACACAACCAAAACCCATGTTTTCCCCTTCAACAGACATACATTGACACAACCAAAACCCATGTTTTCCCCTTCAACAGACATACATTGACACAACCAAAATCCATGTTTTCCCCTTCAACAGACATACATTGACACAACCAAAACCCATGTATTCCCCTTCAACAGACATACATTGACACAACCAAAACCCATGTTTCCCCTTCAACAGACATACATTGACACAACCAAAACCCATGTATTCCCCTTCAACAGACATACATTGACACAACCAAAACCCATGTTTTCCCCTTCAACAGACATACATTGACACAACCAAAACCCATGTTTTCCCCTTCAACAGACATACATTGACACAACCAAAACCCATGTATTCCCCTTCAACAGACATACATTGACACAACCAAAACCCATGTATTCCCCTTCAACAGACATACATTGACACAACCAAAACCCATGTTTTCCCCTTCAACAGACATACATTGCTTTTTGGTTGTTTTCTTTAATTAATGATTTTGTAATCTCATTTTGGTCAGATTTTCTATATTCAATATCTATTCTTATGTCAATTCACCAGAAAAATGCCATAAACATGCAGATTTGTCTGTTTAAGAAATAATAAATCAGCAGCTCCCTTTTGTTTAACTTATCTCAATCTACAAAGAACATTGACTTGTATATATAACTGTAAATAATTGGTTTTTCCAAACAATTCCAGGAGAATATGCATTTTATTTTACTGTAGCTTTAAATAGTTCCAGTACATTTATTATATATACTGTAAATTCAGAAATTATTGCGAGGTTTTTATTAATGCGAATAATGTGACTGGGTGAGTATCGCAATAATAAGAACTCGCATTCTGATATCTGATACATATATCTGTATGCAGATTTTCCTGAAATCGCAATTATTAAACTCACATTTTTGTCTATTCTTCAACAATCGCAATAATAAATGCACGCAATAATTTCTGAATTTACAGTAACAGTGAACTTACGAGTTTTCCCCAATAGCTCCAAGAGAATATGTATTATATTTACAACAACTGCTCGATCTGAACAATTCTGAAATGATACAACTAATATATGTATCAATAACTATGATTAATATCAAACAACCTGTTGTGAATTTCCTTGTGACTATACAGTCTAGAAACTAGATGGTTACAATGTAGAAAATGATCCTGACAAAAGTACTTTTCAAAGAAAAAAAAATAGAACTGTGTAATTTTAACTGTTTAAGTTTTGAGTCATTGTATCCATGGTAATACATAGAGAAACATGCAGCTGAAAAAAACTGTTGGAAGAAGTATAAATCCATTGAAAGTATCATTATATTTATTTATATATATTTGTAAATTGATTATCAGAATTAAAAAAAATAGGTTGTTGAATTGAAAAAGGGCCATTTCAGAAGTATTTGTATAGGTGTATCAGTATGGTTTCAAATGGTAATACCTATTACTACCTATATTTGCCACTGGATGTTAAGCAATCAACAATCAATCAATCAGTTAATATTACTACCTAAATCTGAATCTTATCAATATTGCACAAAAGAAAGACTTGATGGATGAACAAATTTTCTGTAAAAGCATTGTAAGGGTTACATTTCATGTTTGATAGTTTGTTATGAGATCAAAACAGAAAACAATGCAATTTAATACTTAATTACAATGTCAAAATATATTATTAAATCGAGTGATTTTGTTTGGTTCAAATGAATCTTACACTCACCCTTAAAGTACACAAGATTAAATCTAGTTGTGCTGCATTCTTCAGAACTGAATCTCTGTGAATTTTTTCTGGAAATAAAATATGCAATCTAGATTCATTTGAGACATTGCTTTTGAATGATTTAGTTCTATACTCTGATACATGCTATACAAAACTACTGACAATTTATTCTATAATTTCCCAAAAAAGTTTTGTATATGATAAACAACCATAAAAGTCTCTTCAGAAATGAATTGATTCTACATTTATTGCAAAAAATGAAAAGCATTTACTTGAGTTTACATGTTGTGCTTGCAGATCACACCAATTTTGTATTTTCCACTGCTGTCAACTACAGATAAATGTCTGTCCTACAAAAATATTGCCACTATGCCACATGTTCCTAGTAGTAGATTCTAAAATTGTTGTTTTAATGTTACTTACATGTACATTTATAGATTATAGATTTTTATATGCTGACAATAGAGGCTACTTATTTAACATTTGTGTGCACATAATTTTTTGTGTGTTAAGCATCTAGTAGAGGTATATTATTTACACATATCTTATGTGAGAGGTCACTGTGGAGCCAGGGCCCAAAATATTAACAATTTTAAAGGATTTCATGCATTGTTTATTTTCTTGTGTGACTTTTGTAATTCTAATGTATTCGTTTTAGTAGGTTTTAAATCAAATCTAAATGTTTAAGTTAATTAGACGGACATGAAGTCAGCAGATAATGCCCTTTAAGAAGTTAGATTACATGTAAGACATCATTAATTTGAGGTTATTCATATACATGTATTATCTGTGAATACAATACCTTGTTGGTTAAGCAGCTGATAGATTTTAGATGTAACGTATCTGATCTGTTGTAGGTCATCTGTAGAGGATGGATTCTTAGCAGCCTTTCCACCAATCTTATCCAACTGCTGGAAAAGTCCTATCAGTCTAGACCTTTAATAACAATAAGTAATATAAACATGTGCAAACATATTTACGCTTTTACACAGACTCACATTGTAAAAGATACTATAACAGTATAACCTTATGACACAGGTACAAACTTGACCATGATATATGTTTCTTAAATAACTATCATCAGGTACACTACAGACCAGATGGTTGGGAAGTTAAATACATAACATTAAAGAGCATCAAAAATAAAACAGCCTATTAAATAATGACAGTCAGAACTGTATAAGGTAAAGTTTGCACTGATCCAGATTGTAGAAGAGTTGAGATTGTTGTTTTTAGTGTTCATTTTGTGTAATTGATATGTGTATGATCAATATTTATACTTTCTGATAAAATGGAATTTTTATAGTGCAAATTCTCTTTGAAATTCAACATGAAAACATATTATCAGACTTGGCAGGGAACAGTAGAGTACAATTAAATATCAGACTTGGCAGGGAACAGTAGAGTAGCATTAAATATCAGACTTGGCAGGGAACAGTAGAGTAGCATTAAATATCAGATTTGGAAGGGAACAGTAGAGTAGCATTAAATATCAGACTTGGCAGGGAACAGTAGAGTAGCATTAAATATCAGACTTGGCAGGGAACAGTAGAGTAGCATTAAATATCAGACTTGGCAGGGAACAGTAGAGTAGCATTAAATATCAGACTTGGCAGGGAACAGTAGAGTAGCATTAAATATCAGACTTGGCAGGGAACAGTAGAGTACAATTAAATACTAGTTTCTTCGGATTATTCAACTAGGGTGCAATTAAATGTAAATCCTATAAAGGCCATGCTGTCAGAAGACAATGCTATCCATAAAACTACAGAAGTGGTAAATGTTCTTTTAAGTCAAAATGTACTTATTCTGTACTCAATGTAGTTTTATAATAGGTTCTTTTCAGTAACTTTTGTAATTCTGTTCTTGTATGTGCCTTTTGTTATTCTATTGGTCAAGGTTAAATTTTACGTTTAAAAATAACGTAAATAATTTCTGACTCATAGATACCATATATCTCTTGTATATTTAAAATAAACAAGTAAAACTTGCTACTGCTTACTAATGATACACATGCTTTAAGAATTTGGTAAACAAAAAGTTGATGAGCAATGAATCTGAAAACAATTCACAGGGTAAAGCATGTTCACATGAAGCCTGACAACAAAATTATGGAAACTCTTACTTGTACATGTAGTTCCCTAGAAACAATGTGAAGAAAATACATGCATCATACATGGCCATTATGTGTTAGACTATATAAGTAATCTGTAAACAGGAAGTTGGTACACCATAAAGATCTGTCTATAACAAATCATGTGTACACCAAAAACCTGTCTTTACCAACTCAGGTGTACTACACCAAAAACATGTCTTAACCAAATCCTGTGTACACCATAAACCTGTCTTTACCACACCCTACATGTACACCACAAACCTGTCTTCCCAAACCCTGTGTACACCACAAATATGTCTTTACTACAGTGTACACCATAAAAATTGTTTTACCAAACCCTGTGTACACCACAAACCTGTCTTCCCAAACCCTGTGTACACCACAAATATGTCTTCCCAAACCCTGTGTACACCACAAATATGTCTTCCCAAACCCTGTGTACACCATAAAAATTGTTTTACCAAACCCTGTGTACACCACAAACATGTCTTGACTACACAGTGTACACCATAAACCTGTCTTTACCAAACCCTGTGTACACCATAAACCTATCTTTACAATAACTGTGTACACCACAAACATGTCTTTACCACATCCTGTCTACTCCATAAACCTGTCTTTACTACACCATGTGTACACCATAAACCTGTCTTACAAAACCATGTGTACACCATAAACCTGTCTTAACCAAACCCTGTGTACACCATAAACCTGTCTTAACCAAACCCTGTGTACACCATAAACCTGTCTTTTAACCTATGTAAAATACTACTAAATGTACCTGTCAATTCAGCATACAATATAACAGTAAAACAGCATGTTTGGTGAGATACCTATTGGTACTGGTACTTACCCAACACTTCTTTCCATCACAAAGTCTCTTTCTTCAGTTTGATATTACATTCTCATATGTATAACCCAAAGCCAAGTTTTACTCAATGACCTGAAATGTCCAATTTTACAAGATTTTGATTTAAGTGTTCTAATAGAAACAAACAATTTGAAATTTGATAAAAAATATGAATAGTCTTTCCCCAACAAATTTACATGATTTGTAATAACATAAGCAACACAACGGGTGCCACATGTGAAGCAGGATCTGCTTACCCTTCCAGAGCACCTGAGATAACCCCCAGTTTTTGGTGGGGTTCGTGTTTAGTTTAGTCTTTAGTTTTCTATGTTGTGTCATCTGTACTATTATTTGTCTATTTGTTTTTTATTTTTGGCCATGGCATTGTCAATTTGTTTTCGATCTATGAGTTTGACTGTCCCTCTGGTATCTTTCGTCCATCTTTTACATGACTTACAACCTTAAATTGAAACTAAAACACTAGGCAAAGTCAAATGTATATCACATCTATGTATCATGGATAATGCAGGTTCTTTGTTGTCGTTAAAAGTCATGTTTGAATTTTCATATTGATCAACTTTGACATTAACCTTGATATAAATGAGTCAATTGAATCAAGAAACATGTTCAGGTACACAGAACTTACAAATCAATTGAAATAACAATTTCTGCCTTGATTTGGTTGTAAATCTCAACAGTCAACTGATTTCATAGTGAGTGGGTGTGGCAGGAGAAAACAATTCAAAGGTGAACTGAACAATCATTTCAGTTATTTTTCAAGATACATTGTGTCATACAATTGTCAACTACTTTTTTAGAGTATCAAAAAAATTAGTAAAGGATCCTCCTGAATAAGGGTAAATAGTTGGTCATATTGGCCAGAAAAGTTGATTACCCAGGGCTCACACTACTTCAAAATCACAGGGAGAAGTGACTTCTCTTTTTGAAACTGGTAGGGAAAAGTGGTGAGATTTGAAAAAGAAGTGCTTGTTTGCTCGCAGCACTTCAATGTTTGGTTTTTACTATAATATAAAAAGTTATTCTTTGTTGAATACCTGGATGAAAGTGTAAACATGGCGCTTCCGTTTGTTGAAAACCGTGTCAAAATCAGATGAAATTTACGGATTTTACTAGACTTTGAAATAAGGAAACATTTTTTTTGAAAGAATATGGAAGAATTGAAGCCAGACTAATATACTTTTTTTGACATAAAATGCCGTTTTATGTACAAAAACACTTGGAATGGACATCGTTCAGTGTAAGGATTTTGTACAACCTTGTTGAATTTTTCAAACTTTTGCTGTTTTGGGTTAAAAAATTACGATTTTGGGTAAAAAAGTTGAATTTCGAGAATTTCATCTCTCTAATGCCGAAAATTTGCAAATTTTGATTTTTTATGAAGAAAAAATGATCAAAACATTAACAAAACTTTGTCCATGGTGAAAGTGAATAATATAAAGACATAAATAACTACAGACAACTTTTTATTGATATTTAATATGAAGATCTCCCACTTGTGTCATAATAGCCAGGGAAGCCATCATCTCAGAGTAGCTTCTGTCAGGACGGCTATCGGTGAAAGGGTTAAGAACACTGTTGAAAAAAAGAGGCGAAAGATACCAAATGGATATTCAAACTCACAAGTTGAAAATAAACTGACAACGCCATGGCTAAAAATGAAAAAAGACAAACAAGTCCACAAAGCACAACATAGAAAACCAAAGACTGTCGAGCAACACGAACCCCACCAAACACCAGGGGGTGCTCCCGAAGAGTAAGCAGATCGGATTGGTTAATACCGCTGACAAGACTATACCCGAGACATTTAAATTATATGCATTGAACTTACAAACTCTAAAATTGTAAAACAAATTTATCGGGATCAGCATTTTTCACAAAATATGTCTGGGATTTTGGGATTTTCTCTTAATTTTAAAACCAGGAAATCGGGATGAGACCTAGCTCCTCTCGCCCCCTCTCAAATTCCTTTGAGATTTTGAGAACATTGGCTTACAATGTTACAAGAGTTAACAGGTTATGCTTATTGATTGTTGTTAATTTTTACTTCAAAGGACTGCTTTACTTAAAACATGTAGAACTATCCAGAAATTAATATTTATTCACATGTATATCACAGTGGCCCTGAGTTTTTCTAAGTAATGTTGAATATGCAACTTTAATGGGGCAAACTCTTCTACAGGTACCACTTGCGATTTACAAAGAATCGACAAAATATTGTAATTATCATGCAGAACACCCACATTAAATGTCATAATGACTAATGTCATAAAAACAAGGCCTACAAGTTTTTTTTACACTGTGTCAAAATAAGATCGCATATAATAGTGACTGGTCTTTTTTCTTCACGAAAGGTTAGGTGACTTTCCCACTACATAGTTGTTACTTCAAGATTGTTGGCAGATAGTTCGCTAACTTTAAGAGAAAACACTGAACTTTGACAGACATATTGTTTTACCTGTCACCAAGAGTGGCGCTCCAGTCGCATTACTTCCCTTTTATGAAAGATTACCGTGCAATCCCTTGTTTGCCAACGTATCTTTTCAAACGAACCACTATTGAGAGGGCGGACAGGGGGTACCTTTCTCCTTTCTCCCGCCCCTTTTCTCCTTTCTCCCACCCCTTTCTCTTGTCTCCCGACCTCAAACATGAAAAACTAATGTATAGAAATCTCGTTTTAACTTGATAAATATCGATCAAATTTGTATAGAAGTGTTGTTTCTTCTGCTTCAAGAACCTCAATATTATTTTCACTGACTGTTAAGCTGTCTGTTTGCATTGAATTTGCAACTGAGTTTGATGCACGCCGTTTCCCGATGATTTTTTTTAAAGTAGAAATCCAAATGCTGCTAAATAAGAAGAAAAAAATATCTGTTATTGGACTGTTTAGAAGAAATTCGATATGATTTCGGAAGTATACCTCATGAGGATAGGCCTACGTATACATGACCATAACCGAAAGACCTCGTGTAGTATAAGAAACACAGACCAGATCTGGATTTCTATTCTAAAAATGCACACACACATAATAATTATACTACAAGCATGGAAATGTGAATGTCTTAAAAAATATGAAAATAAATTCTGAAAAATGTATTTCACAACAAGAAATATGTATCATATGCTGAGTATACCAGCTCCAAATTACTCTAAATATATGCACATTGAAAATGGAATTAATTACGAAGGATTATAATAAGATATACTTGATTGGTCCTGGACCTGATTGATTTTAATATAGGTTCAAGTTAATTTACGCTTCGGTGTACAGGAATTGTTGTATTTTTTTTTTGTTTGAGCTGGACATGCTGTACAGGTACAGATGATGAAAAATGCACCATTTCATAAAACGGTGAGTCAAAACGATTCATAAATGATTAACAAAGGTGTCTTTTTGGGGAGGGACACATTGCTGACATGACTCCATGAGCGCCGGAAAAAGTCAGAGGGTATTTATATCTTTAAAAGAGATTTTGTAACAAGTACATATACAAGTATGTATGTTAAATAAAAGTGTTGTAAATGGAGATATGGGAGATTCAATAAGACTGCAACTGGCCAATTAACGACACACAAAAACCAAAGACATCTAGATAACACAGGACAAATGCAGGATGGACAAGAATTTTGATACTGCTAATTTGTAGATTTAGAAAAGATAATTTGGTCCCTTGAATTTGAAAGTTAATACGTATATTTACTATAGTAAGTATAAATAATATCAAATGATAACATCACACGTTCACAACTTTAGTCATATTAATTATAATACAAACATATGTCAATCTCGTAAGGTACAAATTTGTTAGTCTTTAAACAACTCGTATTTCAGAAGAAAACTCAAACCATTATGAAATAAGGAGATGTATTGCCTATGAGACATCTTTCTATCAAAGACAATATTATGTTTTGTCACAAAATGCCTTATAAAATAGACAATCACCAGATACGCTTAATATATATTTTGGCCCCGGAAGCATACTGTTTTACCCGTGTCCGTATGACCGCCCGTCCCTGACTTGGTATATATAACTGAGGGTTTATTCAGTTTATTTCTTATTGCTAAGTTTTTAAGATTCAAATTTAAATTATGTACCAGATGTTAGTATATTTACCAAAAGTGCGCATATTGTCAGGATTTTTCTTTGTTTTTTGTTTTAAATGTCAGGTTGCTTAATTTGGCATTTTAATCATATATAAATGCACGCAGAATACATAGCCCTTCTTACTCCTTCTACGACTACATGTACAATTTCAAGCTTGAACCTTTATATTGCGCCGAGTGTTTTACTTATATAGAGAGTGCATATATATTCTCAGGATTTTGTATTGTATAATTTTTCACGAATGACAGAGTGTTGAACTTTGTCTTTTCAAGTGAAATTTTGAATACAATTTGTAAGGTGCCTTTATATATTATCAAAATGTTAAAATGAGCAAACTCATTAAAAAAAATCACACATTTACACCATACAGTATACTTGAATAAGAATATGTATTTCATCAAGATATTGTTTGTATCTATCATTTTTACAACTAACAGAATGTTTAACCTTTTTTGATGGTTGCATTAAATGTGTCTTTTGAACACAACTATTTCTAATTGTATTGAATCGTCCTAAACATGCATGAAATATTTGACACACGGAAGTTGCGGTGGCATCACCCTTGTCTAATTTGGCTAGTAGGGTTAAGTTGAAGATTTGAATTTCTTTATAAGCTAATTATGCACCCAGTTAGGACGAAATGTAAGTAACCGGACAGGGGAAATGAAAACAAAATAACAAACACCATTCAGATCCCGTTACATATTGTCATACCTCTCCGTAAAAATAACGTTATTTGATATGCAGAATCGTCATCCCTTTTCTGTCAAATTCTTTGCATATCGGTCAAGTTTGACGCAATTTATCTAAAAAAACAGGGATAGTAACATGTTTGTTTCTATAAATGCACGGATTCAGAATACAATCATTGATATTCTGTTAGTTCTTAGTGTTTCTCCGTATATAAGAGATCGTAATGATTGAATAAGTGACGACGCTTGGCGTATTTATGAGGTCGTTTTCATTAAGCCTACTATGACATTTATTAGCACTTTCTTCAAGCTTTGTATTATCTAATTTAATAAAATAATCAATTTCCGACTCACTTTTATTATTTTTTTATAAACATTTTTGTCTCCCTTTTCTCCTTTCTCCCGCCCCTTCTCTCCTTTCTCCCGCCCCTCTCTCCTTTCTCCCGCCCTCTCTCTCCTTTCTCCCACCCCTTCTCTCCCTGACTCCCTTTACCCTGTCCGCCCCCTCACTATTAAACCCCTTTTTGGTTTTATAAAACAAAGAATAATTGACCAGGGTTTTCAAGAACAACATTCAAATATTTCAGCATCTCCAAAATTAACATTTTTCCAGAGTGTTTACAAAATGAGTGAACGTGCAGCCTATGTTGATGCTTTACGAAATGATCAGAAATAGAGAAATAGATCAGATCGATCCTCATTATGTAAATTAAGAGTTAGTGCTCATAACCTTGCCATTGAAAGAGGAAGATATTTAAAAGTGCCCAGGGGTCAAAGAATTTGTGAAATCTGCAAAAGTGGCGAAATTGAAAATGAACAGCACATGCTACTACACTGTAGAGGGTACTCCAGTATCAGATAGACTTTTGAATTCAAAATGTCCAAAATTACAAAAAATTAAAGGTATAGAGTGGGTGGCGCATATTCGCCGTGGACACATTTTCGCCGTTTTTGCAATTTTATCTGTAAATTTCGTGTCACTGTGCCTTTACCCAATTCTTGCCTAAATAGATGCTAAACGCTGTTTATAATGTTCAAACTGTTGATATTCCTTTTTACTCCATTTCCAATGTTATTCGCACATATAAAGAAATACGCAGGTGTTTTTGAACGATTTTGGCAATTATGTAAGATTTATATGGCACGCATGCGCAGTCATAAAGTAAATATTTGTTAGGAAAATCATATAGGAATGATCTCTCAAGATAATTCATGTAATTGCAAACAATTGTTTTTATAATATACCAGGATAATGAGGATGGTCAAATCATACATTGCGGCGAAAATGTGTCCCCCGTGGTACAAGAACAACTTGATTTCCTCTTGAGTTTGCGTTCATTTTAAAACATTTAAACAATGTTTTGAAGAGAATTCCTTTATCAAACATTTTTTTCATTTAGTAAACTTTCTGAAACCTACATAAAAAGTTTAAAATATTCAAATGCAGGTCGGATGTAGGTGGAAATGAATGAATTTTGCGGCGAATATGCGTCACCCACTCTAACCCCTCTGTACCATGAATATAAAACAAAGCTTATACTTAATAATAAATCTTACACGGTACTAAAACTATCTTCTTCTTTCATAACAAATTGTTTAAATGCGAGAAGTAATCTATTGCAATAGATTTTCATTATACATGTATCTTATATTCACTTTTGCATTTTACTACCATGTTTATCCATTCGGTCATTACCATTTATTGTAAATGGGTTTGTGCCAATAAATAAATAAATAAATATATAAATAAGCTTTATTTAGAGTCGGCAAGGTATACAAACAGTGACAACATAAGCTCTAATGAGCTTTTAACCGACATACAAGACATTTATAACAATACAACATTTAACAATACAACACATAATACACATGCAATAAATTACACAGCACAAAATGAAGCACTAAAAAGCATAATGGTAATAAGAAGAATATAAGCATAAGCTAGGTATTAAAGCTAAAAGCATATAAGTGTAAACTAGGCATAAAAGCTGGTAAAATGAATAGCATAAAATGTTTTAAAGAAAAAAAGGGGGTATGATCTAAATGGTAAATAATGTTAGCATAATATATTAACTAAAAATCTGCACAAACTGTGCACTTACAGCCATTTCCATTCCGTGACTTTAAAATATTTTTGAACTGACTAAAATTAGCAATTTTTCTAAAATCATCAGGTAGATCATTTCATAAAACAGCAGCTGTGTATTTAAAAGAGTTCTTACCATAGCTAGGTTGATGTTCGGACCCTAGGTATATCTACAATATTAGAATATCTAAAATTATATTTACAATCTTTCAATACAACTAAATCATGTAAACATGGTGGTGACAATTTATATAAAATTTTAAAACATTCAATAGCCATGTTACGCATACGTCTTATTTTCAGTGATGGAACCTTTGCTCATAAAAGAAGTTCATCATATGAACTAGCATAGTCTTCATATATGAATCGTGAAGCCCTTTCTTGAATTTTTTCTAATTTAGTGGTGTTATTTTTTTTGCAAAAATGCCATGCCAAAGGACAAAAATTAAAATTAGATAAAATAAATGTATGGAAAATGGTTTATGTTTATTAAATACAAAAATTAACAGAACATTCAGAACAATAAATTAAATAACACATATCTGAGAGGGTGATAGAGCAGATTGTTACCCCTCGAAAAGACATTGTCAACCTTGG